GGAGGCGCGCGCCGCGCCCGCGGAGCCAGGTGGAGCTTCCCCTTCCCTGCGTGGGGTCCGCAACCAGGCCCCGCAGCCCCGGGTCTGGCCAGGGGGTGGAAAGTCCCAGGCCCTGCTCTAGCGGGTGTGGGGTGTTCTCGTGGGTGGGACCGGGTTTTGCCCAGGTGCAGTTATGTGTTTCTGAATTTTGAACTTTGGAATAAACTACAGGAACGTTGGATTTAGAAAGGCAGAGGGACCCTCGCCTTACGCAATTCAAGTTTGGAGGGAAACAGTTCTTGGAACAAGTTAGGGGCAGGTTGGAATTGGTGTGTGGAGGGGGAGGGGCCCTGGAAGATCCGGGAAATGCTCGGTTTAGAGTTGGGCGAAGAGCTGGGGGTCTTGTTGATTGGAGGGATATGGCTCCCGGGCTTGAATGGGTCAGCGATGGTGGGCTGTGAGAGTCTAGAGTCTAGGGGATGCGTTCATTTGAGGATGTGAAGGGAGACTTTCAGACTTGAGAATAGAGTGGGTTGGAGAATGACCTCACATGTGCAGTTCTTTCCATAATATCTTGAAAAGTCCGTGCTTAGCACAAGAGTTTCGCTCATAGCAAGGAAGCAATAAATGACAGCTACTTATATTTATGGTAATATTAAGAATAAGCACAAGTAATGCTGGACCAAACAGCTTGGATAGGATTTAAAAGTTTTGGGAACTAAGATTGGTTGGTGGGGGCCTCTTCTTAACTCTTGAGCCATGTAGTTTTCGTACTGCCATTCTGGCAATCTATAAGTCTGTTAGGTAAGATTCTTGCCTGGACTTCTTTGCCTTTCTTACCATCAGCAGCCTGCCACTCCATGGTGTTGAGCTTTGAGATACAAAGTAACCTGTTTGAAAAATAAACTTAGATGGTTACAGTTTAGGACTCTTCGGGATACAGCCAGCCATCATATCTACAGCTCTGTTTAATTTTTTTAAATGCGTACTTAGGGGATTTTCAGGAAACATAAATCAGAAAAGGCCAGATATTTGCTTGTTTTGTGTTAGGAATGCTGTCATATGTTATTTTCAGTGGAGAAAAAGGCCTTGCTTGTATATAAAATGTAGTCCCTAGAAATTAAAGGTTGTAGAATGCAGCCTGCTTTGGTTCAAGACAATTGTTCTAAGATACCTTGCTGTATTGATTTCTAGGGATGCAGGGACCTGCTTTCTATAAGCCTTGTTACTCTTCTTTTGGGGGGAGGAGGTTTTTTTTTTTTTGGTACTGGGGATTGAACCTAGGGCCTTCCCACTCAGCTGCAAACCCAGTTCTCTCTCTTAAAATTAATTAATTTTTTTATTAGTAAATGTTTGTAGCACATAGTTTTTATATGCCTTGTGTGGTCCAGCCTTTTTTGTTTTGAGACAAGGTCTTGCTAAGTTATTCAGGCTGGGCTCAAACTTGCCATCCTTCTGCCTCAGCCTCCCCTAGTGCTGGGATTGTAGACATGCACTTCCAGGATTTCCTTGCTACCCCCTTTTTTTTGTTTTGTTTTGGTACCGGGGATTGAACTCGGGTCCCTGCGCTTGCAAGGCAGGCCACCGAACCGCTGAGCTAAATCCCCGGCCCCTTGTTACCCCTTTTAAGCATCACAATATACCTATGAGATAGGTGTGTGTCTTTATTTTCATTTTACAGGTAAAATTTAGGCCAAGAGAGATTAAGTAACTTGTCTAACAATGAAAACACAATTCCATCTGATTCCTGCCCCATTAATTTGCTTCAGAAACTTAGATTATGGTCAAAATATAATACAGTATTTCTGTGGTTTCCCTACTAGTACTAGTATTTTATGCAAAAGGTTTTATATTACACACATTTTTTTTTCCTGCAGTTTGCTTTTTTTGCTTAACACATGATGAAATCTTTCCATATTAGTACATAGAAAATGCCTTCATTTTTCAGTTGTATGAAATTTCGTTGAGTAGATATAGTTTACTTAACCATCTGTTGGTGGACATTTGTGTTGATTCTCGTCTTTTGCAGGTATGTATAAGTGCCTTTTTATGGAGAGGCCACTTGTACCTTTTAACAGACTTTCAAAGGGTTGCAGAAAAATAAAAAGGTTGACTTGTTTTAATCCAGGTTTTCATTCTACAGAAGAGAAAACTGAGAACCGGACAGGTCTCTGTAACTTAGTAACAAGGGCTGAAAAAGTAACTCCTTTAAAAAGGTGGTTGGGGATAAAATACAGCCTAATTCATGGTGAAATGCTCATGATGGCATTTAATAGAGAAAACTAATAATACTAATTTCATAAATATTTACATGGTATTTTTATAAGTAGTAAACAGCAAAACAGGAATAGCAATTTTAGAAATATTTGCTTAGCTCTTCTTTTTTTTTCTTTTTTTTTTTTTTTGGTACCAGGGATTGAACTCAGGACCTTGTGCTTGCAAGGCAGGCAGCGGAACCACTAAGCTAAATCCCTGGCCCTTAGCTCTTCTTTATAATACTGGAAATGAAATTTCTTAGTACATGTACTGGTATATAAGTGAAATTCTTTTTTTGTTTGTTTGTTTGAGTTTGAATTTGAGTTTGAGTTTCAGTCTCACTGTATTGCTCAAGCTGCTCTCAAATTCCTGAGCTTAGGAGATGTTCCCTCCTCCCTCCTCAGCCTTCTGAATAGCCGGAACTATATACCACTGTAGTTGGCTTAATTTATTAAAACTTTTTTTGTAAAGCCCAGTGTATCTTTTGGAAGTAGATTGCCTATGGAAAAAGTGCTAGAGTGTGTGCTTGTTGAAAATTTTGATTATACTGGTCTTTTTTTTTTTTTTTTTTTCTATTTTTTTTTTTTTTTTTTTTGCCAACTTCTTGGCAAGTTTTAAGATTTTAAGACCCTGTGACCTTGTGTAAATGGTTTATTCCTTTGTGCATTATCAGTTTGCCTTTAGATATTGTATGAGTTCTTTTTGTTGATTGGCTAAACCCTGTGAAGGAAGGCTGTATCAATTATCACATCAGGATGAACTCAGACTTCAACTTGTTTGTTGAGGATCTGCGGCTCATTGTATATATTGACATAATAAATATTTTGACCATCTTGAGCTATTTTATGAGTGCCTACTCTGTGCCAGATACTGTACTAGGTAGGTCTTTGAGAAACATTAATGAATAAAATATTAAAGATTCTCTCTCAAGAAACATATTCTAAATTTAGAGACAGTCCTGATCTATTGATTAAAAAGAAATATTTACCACACAGGCATATATAGGTAGTTTTGAACTATATATTATAGCTATACTTTACTCTTATTGAAAATGATTAATGTATTTTAAGAATTATTTTGATAGCAAAGATGATTCTACATTATACTGCTTTTGAACATAAAACCAATACCTTTTGACTTTTTAGGACATTTCTTTTTCTTTTACCATATACATAGGTAATGATTGAAGAAAAAGACTGAAGCTGTTGTATCTTAAATTGACTGTTTAACGGTTTTCTTTGTTTTGTTTTTATGTGAAAAATGCATTTCAAAAATTATATAGAAAAAAATTGAATAATGCCTACTTTTCCCTTTCTTTTTATCCTATCCCAGTCTCCCTGTTAATTTAGGATTAACATGCACTTTTAAAATGTCCCTTTCAAGGAAAAGCAAATAGTGTTGGATTTATTACACAATTGGCAATGTTTTTGCAGTGCATGTTGCCTAAATGCATTTAGAACTAATGAATAATGAAACCATGTGATTATATGTAAAAAGAAAGGAATTTCCCTGGTTTGTTAAGGGTTTGTTTCAAGATGTATAAAATGACTCATCTCTTTATCCTTAATGACACACATTCAAGAATTTACCAGTATCCTTATGTATTATACTAATGTAGGAAACATGTGCCTTGTCCTTGCTTATGTTTTTCAAAAATATGTTGAGATTACCTCACTATGTATATTACCAATTAAATTAATTACCACTGAAGGAATTGTTCCAGTCTGTAGAATTCAGGATTGAGCAACAGACATTTAGAGATTTTTTTTTCACTCATATTTTTACTCACTAACTTTTAGTTAATCTTGGAAGAGTTGCCCACCTTGAATTTATTTGTATTTGAGTTTGCTTGGGTATAGGATCTGTTAGTTAAATTTTATTTCTCTAATTCAATGAACACATTTTAGGCACACCCTTCACAAACGATTAATGAGACATAGTCTCTGTTCTTTAAGATTCCACAGACTAGTTAGGGAACTCACAAGTCAGATAACAATACCAAATGGTAAGTGAAGTAAATGCATAATGCCAACAAGTGTAGGAATGGGTTGACAGTCTGGAGGAAACCTGAGGAAGATATTTGAGCTGTATGTTGAAGAAAGAATAGGACTTTACCAGGTGAGTGAGGAAGGATGGCCATTCCAAGCAGAGAAGGTTGCATATCCAAAGGTATGAAGGCTGATAGCATATTCTTGGACAGGCAAAAAGCTAAATACAGTGGAGTGCAGGACTGGAGTAGATAAGAGAAGAGACTACAACAGTAAGATGGTCAGGGCATTCTGTGACATGCCAAAAGAATTTTATACATAGCTGGGTGTGCTGGTGCACACCTGTAGTCCTCACTGTCTGAGAGGCTAAGGCAAGAGAATCACAAGTTTAAGCCCAACTGGGCAACTTAGTGAGACCCTGTCTCAAAAAATAAAAGAAGGGCTGAACATGTAGTTCACTAAAAAGGCT